GACTTGTCTTCAGTGCAGATTCAGACTGAATTCCTGTTTCTCTGCAAAATGCTAAAAAGGCATAAATCCCCCTGCAGTTAAGCCCTGAGCATATTTGTTTCCCTTAAATGTCTGAAGCCAACTATTCTTCCTGCTCTGAGGCGATATTAGTGTCCAGTAATGACACAGAATTTGTGAAGGAGCTCAACATGATGGCGATAGATATGCATATTAAAGATATTGTTCTGATGCAATGTCAAGGATTTTTGCTATTGGTGTTAAGCAGAGTTTGAACATTTTCCAGCATGCCGTTCAAAAGTCCCACCCCTTTTCCACCGTTTTATACTTTGTGACATGTTAATCTCAATTTCTATCAGAAATCAGGTTTCTGGGTTGAACCAATGTAACTGAAAATCAAAATTTTACAGGGTAATGAATAGTTGTGAACTCAACTGAAAGTGAGAAAAAGACGAGACCTGAAAGCATCTCCGTTTGAAAAAACTATGTTTTGGTGATTTTAGTTTCTTTTTGTTGCTGTGGGGGCAGTCCCTGGTACACCTCAGGCATCCCCCCCAGAAGTGATGTCTGGGCAGAGGGAAGTCTGGGCTCCTTCTGCAGAGACTGCTGCCCTTATGACCCAGTGCCCTAATGAAGCAGAAGAAGTTTGATGCATTAAATAATTTGAAAACTTTATTGTCAGATAATCTCTCATGACAAACCGTTTTTAATAATTGGGCAACGAGCTCCACAATGTAGAAAGCTACCATCATGACCATTTTACAGCTTTCTCAATTTATACCTAAAAGGTATAGAGGAGGATGTTCTTTTTTCGGGTGGATCATCAAAGTGGTCCTCCTAATTGTCAATTATTCTGGTGATATCTTTACGTAAGGACGCCCTACGTGCCACTGAGCGACTTGCCCACGACGGTCAGGACCCGGACCTCACAATTCCTGATTTGGACGTGGTCGTAAGGCTGATCGCTCCTCGTAACCCCCTGTACAAGACTCATGACGCACAATCACGCTGAAAGTCTGGCCGATGGAAAGATTCTTGCACAACTGGAAAATCACCCTGAAAATCACAGTGTACACCTGGCTTTACCAGTGGCGAGTCGGCCATAGTGGAAAAATTGCAAATCTTCTTTTGGAAAGCAAGCTTGTAGGAGCAATTAAAACAGTAACTTTTAAACGGAGCGTGCACGTGGAGCAATGGGCTTGTGCACTTTTATGCGTTTAATAGGTGTTCCCTCTCAGCAGCGAGTACAGGCTGGTGCATGTTTTGTTTTTTTTATGTGGAGAGAACTTCAGACCCAAAGTACATTCAGGAAAATAGGTTAAAAGCTTATACCCCTTTCCCACGGGCAAAAAAAAAACATGTTCCAAACCAGGAACTCGGCAAGTGACCCGGGTTAAAATCGCCTTCTAACATTCAGCTCTGATTGGCGTACAGAAGGAACATCAGAAATTTACGTGATACCATTGAGTGCAATGTACAGACGTCAACACGCTGCATGGGTCGCCTCTGATCTAACAAGCTGAAACAACTCTGTTTACATTTATTAAAGATGGTGCAGCTCTGGTAAGAGAGATTCAGAGGGACAAAAGAACGAAATGATAAAGAACACCTACTACTAACTGGCTCCCTTTCATGCTTCTCTACATTGTTTACTTCCCTGATTTCTGTCACATTGGTGACATCATCAAGTTAATCCAGCGTGATTGCGTCACCAGACATGCAGCAGTGGTTGGGCCACATCCCATGCGACTTGCATGCAAGCGGGGAATCAGACCCAGCTTTTTTTGCCAATGGGAAGGTAGCTAAATGCCGATTGTTAGGTCAACCCATGTTTGAAAAATCCCACATTAATGAAGTGATATTAGAGGCAAAGAGGCTTCATAAATGCATCAGCGGTGAACTACTGAGGTGTCATCTGCTCCTCAAACCATGTTTTAGATGTAAAGGGTCAGATAAAAATGCTATTGTAGAGAAACAGTTTAAAATATTTCAGATATTCTTTTAAAAAAACATAGAAAAAATGTTTCTAAAGAAATGCTGCAGTTAGTAGAAATTTCTAATTGTAACTATGAATTTGAGGTAAAATTTTTTTGAAAGCTTCTGATTACTGATCGTTGAAAGTAAACACTTTACAGTTCATTTGAATACTACATTTTATTTTGTTTCTGGACACTCCCTAGATGTTAAATGGAATAAAATTAAGGAAATTAATGTTGATAATAAAATAGTTATATCCTGTTACTACTGAAATTTTTAAAGAAAGGAAGCCAATAAACATTTGCATAGTGAAATGCTTTGTTATGAAAAACTCAGCGGGATATTGAAGCACTACAGAATCGTTTGGTCCCGTTTTCTAAAAAAGGTAAAGGTGTGTCAGAAATAGCTTGATCAGGTGATAATATTCTCTTCAGTGTTATTAGTTTAACTGTAAGCTGGTAACAGTATAAATGGTTAACAAAAAAACCTCAACAAAATGAGAACAATAACGATCTTAAACTAACTTAACTGGCTGAAGCAAAGGCTTACAGAGAGGAGAAATAACATGATCTTAATGCATTTCCTGAGGCAAATACTAAAAGATATGCAGCTTATATTTACTAGCATAAAACACAATCTTTTAAAGATGTTTAAACATAAATACTGCTCCCTGCATCATCGTCTGCCTTGGTTGTTGTTTTTCTTGTCGTTTCTTCATAGAAAGACCCAGAATAGTGACTTTTGTCGGGTATTATTGGCGTTTAGGTCGGATGAATGCGACCTTGCCGTTCAGACACAGATCGCATTTGAAAAGATAAGATTCGTATCGGATTACGGACCACATTGCCAAGTGGCATCGGTGGCGTTGCAAAAAATCGGATCTATGTTGCCATGAAGACCACCATGAAAAGATCAGATCCAGGTCGCAGGTTGGCCAAAATATCGGATTTGGTTCACTTCAGGCTGCGGTGTGAACGTAGCCTAAAACGATTCCACTTAAAGGAGAAGTTCGGTTTTTAACACTTTTAGCCCATTTTCTGTAGTGTCCAGGATGAAATCGAATGATCGACACCAAAATTTTGACAATTGCTCCTGTCTCTGCTTTTTGGCTCATTTAGAATCACCCCCTGGCTGCTTCAGAACGGCTTCCATTGTGCATGTCCGATAATGTCCTTAAAACAACCTTAAACGTTCTTTTTTTTTAATATGCTACTCACCGGGTCGTCAGCGCTGTTCAATGACGTTCCAAAAAAAGTTTCGTAAAGAAAAAACGTTCCTGTAGTGTTTTATTTAGCATTTTGTAAATCCCATTGAGTTCTGTTGGAATAGTCAATATTCCGCTGCCACCGGAAACGGAAATGGGGCCTGTTTACACAGTTGTAGTCTTTTCGCTTCACTGTGTACTCCGACGTCGAGAATCAAGAATCCACCTTTCGTATTCCATTTTCAGAGTTTTTTAAAGTGTTTAACAGAGACGTTAGCACCTCGACGTCGGAGTACACAGAGTGAAGCGAAAAGACTACAACTGTGTAAACAGGCCCCATTTCCGTTTCCGGTGGCAGGGGAATATTGACTATTCCAACAGAACTCAATGGGATTTACAAAATGCTAAATAAAACACTACAGGAACGTTTTTTCTTCACGAAACTTTTTTTGGAACGTCATTGAACATTGCGACCCGGTGAGTAGCATATTTTAAAAAAAGAACGTTTAAGGTTGTTTTAAGGACATTATCGGACATGCTCTATGGTAGCCATTCTAAAGCAGCCAGGGGTTGATTCTAAATGAGCCAAAAAGCAGAGACAGGACCAATTGTCAAAATTTTGGTGTCGATCATTCGATTTCATCCTGGACACTACAGAAAATGGGCTAAAAGTGTTAAAAACCGAACTTCTCCTTTAAGGAGTTCTGGATAGAGCATATTGACAGATGGAAAAAAAAAATTTCTCATCTTAAATGCAAAATGTTTATATTTTATTTTACAATTTTTCATTTAATTACTGCTTTAAGTGGGTCGCTCTGTCAGCTAAAGGCATATTTAACAATCTCTATACTCCACTTAAAGATTAATCGATTACTAAACTAGTTGACGATTATTTCAATTATCAATTTATCACGATTAATCGTCTCAGCCCTAGAAAGAGCGAAGTCATATGAGACGTAAGTTGATTTTTGTATGATTTGGTGGAAACAGGCATTCATACATTACTGTAGAGCAGCTTGGTTTAAATGGTAAGTAAAATCACTGTCAACACAAATGGAGCATGGAATAAAAAAAAAAGTAAATAATAATAAACTACAATGGATAATGACCCATCTTTTATCATAATAGCAGGAAGAATAATCTAATTTTCTATTAGTAAATATATGCATATCAAATTTGGGAGATAACCAGTAAATTACACTTTAAGCTCAGAGGCCAACTCATGTTAAGAATAGATCAATAAAAGCTACTTTTGAGTAAAATCAAAGAACATAAAACAATTGTTTAGTTTTCTCTCCTCGTTTATCTGCTTTCTGTGGGGATGTTCATGACTTCTACCTTGAAAACACCTCCAGGTTTCCTGTTGCTGAGCTCAGATCAGATTAGCAGCAACATCTGGAAGTTTTCACCCAGCTGATTACCAAAGCTGCAGCTGCTGATCACAGCGAGGCAGGACAGCAGCGGTATTGATCCTCCGATAGACGGAAGCTGTTTCACAGAGTTTCCTGGCAAATGAGAAGCAGGCCCCGGAGTGACGCTGTGGGGCCAGAGGGGCGGCCGCAGGCAGCGTGGGCTCCGCTGGGCCAGTGCAGACACGTGGTGCTGCTCCATGGCGCTCCTTTGTTAATTAATCTGAAGAAAAGTGAAGCAACAGCAGGCCGCGCACACTTTCACCTGAAACATGTGGCCTGACGTGGCGAAGCAAAGAGCCGCTCAGCCTTGCAGACAGAGGAGGCAGAGCACCGACTGAAACTTTTATTCCCCCGCAGAATAACCCCCCCTGCTGCACTGACACACATAATGACCCGGAGACAGAACTTACCGAGCGGTTCTCCTTCAGCTCAGGGAGCGGGACATACTCCGGGCTCTGCCACGTATTGATCTGGAAGAGGAGCGGGTGAGCTGGGCAGGTGGGCTCCAGGTTCCTCTGCTGATCAGAGGCCAACCGACCGATATGTTTCAGCCCCTCCACCGCTGCTCTCTATCGCTGCTCTTCGCTTTGCTTCTGGCAACTCAGCGTGGAGGCGGAGCCAAACACAAGGAGGAAAAAAGTTTCAAGTTGAGCTTCGATATCTCTCAAAAACAAAAAGGGGAAAACAAAGAAATATTTTTTTAATTTCCCCTTTCTACGGAGGACGATTAGGGCCACTAAAGAAAGATAGTTAAAGTTGCATAACAGTATAATATGAGAAAAAAGTCAGAATTCGGAATTTAATCTCAGAATTCTGACTTTTTTTTACTCAGAATTCTAACTTTTTAATCTCAGAATTCTGACTTTTTTTCTCAGAATTCTGACTTTTTTTTCTCAGAATTCTAACTTTATTCTCAGAATTCTGTCTTTTTTCACACAATTCCAACTTTTTTTCCTCAGAATTCTAACTTTAATCTCAGAATTCTGCCTGTTTTTCTCAGAATTCTACCTTTTTTTCTCAGAATTCTGACTTGAATCTCAGAATTCTGACTTTAATCACAGAAGTTTGATTTTAACCTCAGAATTCTGACAGAATTTTAAGAAAAAAGTCAGAATTCTGAGGTTAAAGTCAGAATTGCAAGAAAAAAAGTTGTAAATCAGAATTCTGAGATTAAAGTCAGAATTCTTACTTTTTTCTCATATACGGAAAAATTTTTTAAAATCAGTTAACTTTTTTTATTTTTTCAGTGGCCCTAATCCTCTTCCGTACCTTTACCCTTACTTAAAAGGTAAAAATATACAGTATGGCGTGTAGTTTAAGATTCAGAGGTCATCAGGATCATGTTGATTATCATAGATTCAATGTCTCAAGACATGCTAGACGCAAACTAACAGGTTTGACCTTCAAAGCCATCATTTTAACTTGCAGTCTTTCAAATGAAATACATGCATTTGACCAACTTTTGAAAATGCAACTTTGATTTTTGTCATCAAGAAACAATAAGAAACAAAGTCGTCATTACATTTAAGATCCTAATATGAGATTTCAAAGCATAACTATGAGACACAAGGCCATAGTTCCAATTTAATTTATAAATGATTAAGGATAAAAAGGAGGGGGGAAAAAAGGAAAAAAAATAATTAATGGCAAAAAATTATACTTCCACATCCATGCTTCAAAGATTAGGTTGTTTTATTATTATTTTTTTTCTGAAATGATTTATTTGGTTTATTTGCTTTGTTGTAAATATCCATCTGTCTGTTCTGCTTCCCTCCCCTTGATGAAGTGAATCTGCTGCTGTGTCTACAATGAACTCTGTTATAATTGTATTTTAATGTATTTTTATTACATCACTGTGTGTGAGCAAGCCAAAGCAAATTTATGCCATCATTTTGTAGACGATACATTTTCTTTTCTATTTTTTCCATTATAAAAAAAATACTTCCTCTGTTCTAGTCTCATTACAATTTAGTTTCAGATTCGTCCATCCAGTGGCAGTTCTAGATCAAATTTACCAGGACCAGTGTTTTTTTAAAGGGAACAGAAAAAAAGTACCGGTAAAAGAAAACAGGGAAAGAGTGGATTGTTTAGCTTTGAAGTTAGCCACAAAGCCAAGGTTCCAGACTCCTACTTCACATTTCCTATTAAAAACAGCATAAATACAGCTTGCATTCTAGAGAATTTCTCTTATTTAAAATACAGATTATTTGTGTCTATTTTATGTTGAAGGAATCTCAACTCAGCTTCAAGAAGGCACCTTTAATTATTAACAAGGCTGCAGAAGATGATGTCCAAACATAGGGAAAATAGTCTGTGAATGGTAAATGTGTTGTTTTTTTTATTTAGTAAAATACCCCTCAGTGTTAATTGTTGTCCTATAAATGTGTTGTTGGTTTTCAAAGCGTCTGCAGCTTCTGCCCCACCACTCATATGATCACTGAAATACATGAATGGAAGACTTGTGGTTTTCTATAAATAATCTCCCAGTTGGACAGTCTTAGTTTAAGTGCTCTGTGTCCTCACAAATCCATTAGTCTTTTGGAGCTTTTATGGTTCCTTCTCCAGTCATGGCTCATGCATCTGAGCTCCTGCTGCATGCTGGAGGGCAGAACAGAAGACAATGTGAAGGACCCTTTGAGACTGTAGTACAGTAGACCTTTCCCACAGTATTTTAACTTGTGAAAGGAAGCGACCAGTTATCAATAACAGCTCTGTCTGCCATGTGGCCCCTTTATTCAGTGTTTAAAAACATAACCGGCATATAAACCCTCAGGTGTGTTTTATTGAGAGGGATTTCTCAATAAATCTCTTCTCTTCTCCTCTTTTTTATTATTGAAATATCCAATAGAGAACCACATCACCAATAAAGCAGGCTATTCCTCCCAATTCCACAGTGAAATATTTTACATATTTCTAAGGTGAAAAGAGCTGAAATATGGCTGCTGTTTGACCTAAAGAGCCATGCCTTTTAATAAAAATGTTACTTCAGGTTTCGTGAGGAAATATTTGCAATACTAAATATTAATTATTAACATTTCTGAATGTTTAATAAAATATCAAAGGGTAGCTTTGAAGCAATATATTGGTTTTTGATTTCATGTTTGTAGCGCAATGCATTGGAACCCTGCACTGCCAATTGTATATTTTCCCAATTGAGTAGTTTATGTGAAAACCCTTTATTAAAAAAACTCACTTCTTTTAAAAACTCTTCACATACTTTGTTAAAAATTGTGAAATGTGAAAACATTTTGTACCTACCTCGGATGGACCAGCACCTCAACAGTTGATGACTTGATAGAAAATCAGCCGGATTTCCTTAGGTTAAAAACTTTTAACTAATCTGACTGCATAATATGATTAAATTGTCTCTGTAGAATGTCTTAAAATAACATGTGTTGGAAACTGGCACTACAAAAATAAACTGAATAGAATTGAGTTATTATGGATAGAAATTAAACTGGAACATTGTTTTTTCCAAATAAACAATATCAACATTCACAGTGAAGAGAAGAGTTAGGACACAATATTCTCTGTTAGCTGGCATTGCCCCCTCTGGCTGAAATAACTTGAGAGATACTTCTATTCATCTACAACTCTTTGAATTCCATGCGGAGCATATAGAGAGGGATCTTTTTACAGTATTTGCCGAAATCCAGAAGTATGCTTATTCTCTTATCTTTTATTTTCAAACTACCCTCAGGAATGTCTGTTTTGATTAGGTCTGATGACAGAAGTATGTCGACAATGTGTCTGATGAACCATATCTGAATTTATTTCTTCATATGATCTTGGGCCTTTATTTTATCATCCATCCATCCATCCATCCATCCATCCATCCATCCATCCATCCATCCATCCATCCATCCATCCTATCCGGGGTCGGGTCATGAGGGTAGCAGCTTCAATAGGGTGGCCCCGATGTCCATCCCCCGAGGCAGCTCCTCCAGGGGAACCCCAATGCGCTCCCAGGCCAGCCAGGAAATGTAGTCCCTCCAGTGTGTCCTGGGTCTTCCTCTGGGTCTTCTCTCGATTGGACGTGCCTGGAACACCCCAGCAGGGGGACGTCCAAGAGACATCCTACCCAAATGCCTCTATGTCACTGCAATTAACTTTTCTCTTTTTATTCTCATTTAATTATCTTTCCAGTGTGATATGCTATATAAATACATTTACCTTGCTATTGGTTGTGATTTTGTGCTGATGAAATACATTGCATTGATGTAAATTGCTGACTGAACAGAAGAGACATTTTTATTGAGGATTATTGATTCCAAGATATCACTTCTTCCTTCATTTCTCTAATGCTGAGCTTTGGAGATGATTTTTTAATTCCCTCAGCATTCTGCTCAATGCATGTAGAGGCAAGATTAATATGGGTCCTCATTCAACTTAATGCCCAGTGGCTGATAGAATTAGGCCTCTCTGTCACATTATAATGTGTTTTTATACAAGAAAAACAGAAAATCTTAGTTTTCTAATTATAAATGTATGGAACACTTTCTGATCAACCTTAAACCTAAATAATAATAAAATAAAATAATGTTAAAAGATAACATCACATTTGTTGCAATTATGGTAGTAAGTTTGAATTACCATGAAAATAATTAGAGTGATTTAAATCATGCATGATATATATGATGCTAAATTAATACTGGAAATAGAAGGAAAGCTATGAAAGTGTCTTTCTCATGTATTAGCAGAACAGAGATGTTTTAGATGTCTATGTTTTATCTATGCTAGATTACAGACTATTTAACTGGAAAACATATAGAAAGGTGATTCTGTTAAAAATGAATGACTTATTTTAGTTGTGAGAAGAGGAAACCATTTAACACTGTTATAAAACTGCCTGTCATAGCGTCTCCCTCTGGACTGCTGCTATTGCTGCAGCAGAGGTTCATTAGAGCCAGCAGGGCCCACAGATCAATAATTAACAGCACCTCGGATTAAAGCTCACATCAGTGGTTTCTGGGTGTCCACTGCAGTCATATCTCACTATCATTCTGACTCCATCACTGCAGAAGAACACCAAGATGAAGGGAGGAGAAACACAATTCAAGCTTTTACTCTAATTAATTAACCTGAAAGGAACATTTTAATGCTAAGCACCATGGCAACATTAGAAATAACTGGCAATCCCACCGAGCTCTACTAGTGAGAATTGAGAGCAACATTAAACAGCTTAACCTTCATGATGCCATGCATTTTAATTGTTTCACTGTTGAATGTTTTGAATATTCTGTATTTAAAGGGGAAAACTGTTTTTTTTTTTTTTTTTTTTTACATTGCCCCTTGATTTTACATTATTACATCATGTTCTACTCACCCATATGAAGCTTGTGTCATTTGGAGCTGTTCTGATGATATTCAATTTTGTAATATCCAAGTAACGTCTGATGAGCAGTTTAGTTTGTGCCTTCAAGTCGTTGCACATAGGAAGACTAGGAAGACATTATTTGGATATAACCTAACGGAATATCTTTAGAACAGCTTTAAATGACACAAAACTCATATGGGGGAGTAGAACATGATGTAATAACATAAAATCAAGAAACCAATGTAAAAAAAATGGTGTTTCCCTTTAAGATAAGTAAAATTGTTTACTGACACAT